ATCGTGCCAAGGAACAGGACATTCTCACGAATAGCAGCAGCAGCAGCCAGTGTTTTCCAAGTATCTGCTGGATCGATGATACCGAGAAGGGCGGAACGAAGTTCAGGTCGAAGGTTACTGAAGAAGATGTGTCGAAATACATCGTCGGAGAGGGTGCTATCTTCAGGAAAGTCAGCCACGATAGTCTCAAAATGCATTTTATATTCAGCAACACGGCGTTGTCCTTGTTGAAGCGCTTCCGAACGTCGGCGACACAGAGATTTCTGAACAAGCGGATCGATTCCATAGACGCTTTCTAGTTTAGCTTTAACATCAGCGGCGCTAGAGAGGTCTGCGACACGCATAAGCCAATCGGTAGCCTCCTGGGGCAAATATTTCAGCATTTGCATGTTGCGAGAGCCGGCGCTACACATACCAAGGGCTTTGGCTGAGAGATGAAATTGCTTGATCCAAGAAGTGATATCTTGGCCTTTGGTATAAGGTGAGACCAGAGCAGTGTTGTTAACCCGTTGTTCAGCTAACAAGGCAGCCAGAGAATTGACTTCTTGGGAGGTTTCAGGTACATTGGGCACAGATGGGTTGGGCGTGGTAAAATCAGACATAGGGTAGGTATGTATGAGAGATAAGTGCGATATAGTTATAGAGCTATAGAGTTATAGAAGTTATAGAAGTTATAGAGTTATAGAAGTTATAGAGTTGTAGGGCGCAGGAAAAGAAGCAGCTACTCCACCATAAAATAAGATTGAAGTCGGTTGTTAAATATAGACCAAGTGACTGGCGAGAAAGTTATTAGAGGGAATTATATATAGAGAATTCCGTTCGCTAAAACTGTTTAACAGACTTTTTGATTGAAAATAAAGATAATGTTTATTGAATGATAATTGATTGATATTTATATGTTTTTACTATGTTGCCGCAGTACTGCGGTTGTACTGCGGTCAAGCTCTAGTGTTGAATAATATACTGCGGTTAAGGGTTATAACACCGATGAGTCAGATGACTAGACTGGTTTTACAACATGATGTTATGATGTCATTTCACAAACAATTTATTTACTCGCCAAATGTGTGGAAAAACGGTTTGTTTGACACGGAAAAATAAAAGATAAAAAAACAGGAAGAATAAGATTAATATTGCTTGTAGGCTTTTTTATTCTTATTAAAAGTGCATCCCTCTTTCATCTCTGAAAGAAAGGGGGGTATTTATAGTTATTTAAAGCGTGGGTAAAATTATGGCTCGTTTGTGTTCACTTGGTATTATTGGCTGTATTTACTAATGACTGATGAGCCTTATCAGTGTAGCCAATCTATTATTCGAAATGGGATCTTCTATTGGAATATCTAGTAACCCTGAGTTGTAAATGTATAACTCAGGATATTTTTTATGCTATTATTTTTTATGAGTGTTATGATATTATGTACCTGTCGATCAAGGATCGATGGAATGATTTTATATGCGATTTTATATGTTAAATAGTGCGATTTTAGTACATGCTCCCCCACCAGCGTTAGCGCAGCTCGCGAAACAAGGAATTATTAATTGATGTACAACAAAATACAACTACTACTTTTTAAGTACCATTTTTTTTTTTTATACTTTGTAGTAACCATAATTATTATGCATGAATGTCAAAATCCAGAAAGTGGGACTGAGATACAAAATTGGGGCTTATACAAATTTTTTTTTTTTTTATACGCCTATTATTTGTACAAGGGGTTTCCTCTTATCAGTTCTTTCTTGTTTTACTTCTTAAGACACGTTCACGTAGTTGACTGGAACTATTTTTACTGTTGTGCTTTCTTTTTTTACTAGCTGGTATGTTTACAACTTCATTGTCTGTTGACGATGCATTGCTAACCGATTTCCGTTGTTGTTTATTAGAATCCGCGACCAGTTTAGCATTTCTTTCTTGGTCTAATTTCTTTTGTTCATTTACTTTAACCCAGTATTTGCGAATTGTTTCGGGATCCGAGAATGCAGCTGCGTTAAGCCAGGAATTTTCTCGTTCACCATAGCCTACCCAATTTACGAGATATTGTCTATCGTTGACTGGCCCTTTATGCGTGCGAATTTCTTTCACTTCATATAATTTATCTTCAATGGCACTTTCGTCGATGGTAACAACTTTCAGTTCTGATGGTACGTAGTCTCTGTGGAGCATCTCATTCATTTCATCTTTTAACACATATGTACCAGCTTTGGTTTTAGTGACGACGGTAAATGGTCCTTCATATAGAGGAGAGAGTTTGCTTGCTCGGGACGGTAATTTCACCATGACAGTTGATCCAATGGGAATATCAATAAGGTAGTGATTATCATCAAATCTTTTTCTCTGTAATTTCATTAATTCGTTCGTTCTTTGGTGTATAGCGGGAAAGACGATGTCAGCCATGCATTCAGCCTTTTTTATCAAGTCATCCACTGTAGAAACCTTATTTGGAAGAGAAGATTGTGTTGAAGGGTCGTTACGATCCTGTATAGTAGGGAACTGTCGAGCAAACATAAGTGAGAAAGGACTACTGCCTGTTCTATTGCGTATTTTTAAATTACAACACAATTGTGCTGCTGGTAAGATCGTGTCCCATTTGCTTGTATCATTGCCACACATTTTCCTAACCGTATTTACGATATTTTTCACAGCATTTTCTGCGCAACCGTTGGATTGAGGGTAATAAGGTGTGGAGAAGCGATGAGGTATGCCGAGGGTCTTTGTAATCGACGCCATCAACCCATTCCGATACTCACACCCATTATCTGTTAAAATTGCGGTACTAGGTAAACCATAGTCGCCAAAGATCTGACAGAGAGCATTTGCAACAGCATCACTTTGTTTGTTCGGGAGAGCCTTTGCTACGATATAGCGAGTACAGATATCAACGACAATGAGGATGTAGACATTTTGATTAGCAGTTACACTGAAGGGTCCAGCCATATCGGATGCAATGTGTGCAAAAGGTTCGGCAGCTACTATAGACTTTAATGGATGATACCCTTTTCGAGCTACATTATGCCGTGCGCAATCAATACAACTGCTGACAACTTGTTTAGCTTCGGTGAATATTCCAGTCCAGTGTAATCCTTCTTCGTGCAATCTTTGGACGATACTTTCTGTACCGAAATGTCCCAGATTATGTGCATCACGTAATAGTTTATGTCTGTTTTCAATCGGTGGAGCGATATAGTCGGTAGGATTTGTTTTGTACTGTGGAGAGTCTATTTTCACGGCTAATACATTAAGGTTTGCGTCTGTGCTCTTAATGCTTCGTTTGTAAATAAACTTATCTGTCGATGTGATTTTATCGGTAGATTTAAAACTTTCAACGGGATTTCGTTTTCTTCTTTCCAAAATAATTCGATTCAATTGTTTGATCTTTTTATCTTCTTCTTCAAGTTCTTTATCATCATCTAAAGGTGGATATAGTCTGCTGAGCAGGTCAGGCAAGACGTTATCAATTCCTTTGATGTAGGTGACTGTGAATGAAAATTGATTTAAAACATCCATATAAGATTGAATTGTTCGATTTGGAACGTGCGTGGTATAATAAAATGTAATAGCACGGTGATCGGTCCAGACTTCTATTTTTGGATGACCCAGTAATAAGGATCGAAATCTTTGGAATCCGTAATAAATGGCAAATAGTTCTCGTCGATTGACTGACCAGTTTTGAGCCGATGTAGGTAAAGATGTACTTGCCATAGCGATGATGATGGTTCTATTCTTATCATCACGTTGAGTTAAAACGGCAGATGCAGCATATTGCGAGGCATCTGTTTCAAGATACATTTTATTTTCCATACGAGGTGTGTGTAACACAGCTTTAGACAGTAGTATTTGCTTGATATTATTTAGACGATCAGTATGAAATTGTGTCCATTTGTTTTTCACATCTTTATCATTTCGCAATTTATCTAAAGGAGCAGCTATGTCAGATATCTTTGGTACGTAATTTCTCAAATATGAGACGACACCCATGATTTTTCTGACTTGTTCAGCTGATTTAGGAATAGGCCATTCGTGGATATTAGACAGTCTACGTTGATCAATTTTTGTGATGCCAGGTCCAATAACGAACCCGAGCATGTAGATACTGGTTTTAAAGAATGTGCATTTAGCGTAATTAATTTTTAGATTAGCAGCAGTTAATTTATCGATTGCTCTCTTTACAATGCTGGCATGATTTCTTAGCATCAGAGAATATACAACAATCATCAACGTACGTGGCTATTTGTGCTTCACCATTAAAAATGATATTCATAACGCGGCAAAATTGACTAGTGACAAATTTGAGACCGAAACAAGTTCCTACCCATTTATAGGTTTTATCATCAAACATAAAAGATAGTACTTCTTGACTGGCTTCATCCACTTTGAAGCTATTGTATGCAGACTTTAAATCAAGCCGACTAAATACAACTCCAGTAGATACCTTGTCAAAAATATCTTGGATATTAGGGACAGCAAAATCTTCTACCAACGAATCATCTATGTTCATGTTTTGTCTTCTGAGATCAAGACAGATTCTTGTATTGGTAAGATTGTTATTTTCATCCTTTTTTCCAATGGCTAATAATGGTGAATTAAATTTGTTACTTGGCTTACTCTCTACTACAACCCCTGAACTTAACCATTCGGCTAATTGTTTCTTTATTTCAGGTCGAGCATGATAAGGTAACGGGTACTGACGGATGTAACAGTTTGTGGCATCCTTCTTTATAGGTATTCTAACGATACTTTCAGGAATATTGCAAAACTGACCCGGTTTAATTTCAGCGTTTCTTTTTACAGAAGGTTCAATAAAATTCATAAATTGTTCTCTTTCAATCGCTGTGCCAAATTCAGCATTTTCAGGATCATATTTATCCGAAGGATCATAGTTAGCGTTTTCGAATTGAATATCTTCAGATTCTTCATCATCTGGATATTTATGTGCTACATTAGTTAAACCAATATTTAAAGGAGTTAGGATATCTGTGCCTAACAATATGTCATATTCTGTATCAAGTGGATCTAAAAATTCAACCACTTCAAAACAAAATTCAAAACTTATATCATTAAGATATCTAACTTTCATAGGTTCAGTTTGACCGATTCTTTTAGCAGAGTTAGAGAGGAAATTTAAATTGCCTTTTGTAATATTTATTTTTATTTGAGGAAAGAGATTATTTAAAATGTATTTATTGATACATGTGGTGTCACTTCCTGTGTCTACTTTTCCTTTCAGTTTTCTATTATTAAGAATGAGAGGAGTGATTAATGATTTGTAAGGATTGAATACATTTTCATTTGCTTTCTTACATTCATAACTGTCATTTTCAAAGTTGTTGGATGGGCCGCCACGATCGGGCTTCTTTCCCTTACGATCTTTGTTGACAGAGAGGATTTTCTTATCACCAAATTTATCAAGATATTCTTGACAACGATGTCCGTGAGACCATTTCTTACCACAGTGGGTGCAGGGGACAAAAGAGGTAGCAGGCTTGGGTCAGTTCTGACTTCCAAGGAATTTTCGTTGATGACTGGGGCCATCGAAGGTGCGAGAGGTGTCATCGGTAGACTTACCTGCATACTTGCAAGTGGATTCATCATGGGAGTTGTTATCTCCGTGATACTTACAGTAAAATTTAGCATCGTGGTTTGTACGTTTTTTAGGCGCACGATTGGCATCAGACGTGTCGTACGACTTACGCTTGTGTCCAGAGGAACTGCCATCATTATTGGGCGTTTTATCCCCAAATACATTAGTTGCAGCCTTATACACATCTTCGGCTGTCCAGGGGACATTTTCCACTTGGTGTGAATTTACAACTGTCATTACGTTAGTTTGCCAATGAGCAGGCAAGGCAAGGAAGTACAAGTCGGCCATGATTCGGTCCGAAACTTGGTACTCAGATTCTTCGACCATTTGAATGAATCTGTTATCAAAGTCCGAGATGTTTTCATCTGAGTGCATACACATGGAGATTAATTCCTTGGTAGCAAGGACACGCATCTGACGATTGCCAAATTTCTTTTCAAGGACTTTCTTGGCTTCGGCCCAAGAGTCACAGACAAGGAGTTCTTTTCTCATCCAAGCTTTCAAGACGTCGGCGAGTGAAACAGTAATTAACTTTTTCCACGTAGTCTTCACGTTTTGATTCGCGGACAATACGACTTCCTCAAAAGTCTTGATGAAATCATCAATGGACTTAAAAACTCTCTCACCACGAAATTGTGCATAAGTCTTTCCAGTAATTTGGAGACGAGGCAGATCTGTACGATTCAATGATAAACCTTCATTTGAGGCTGGGTTAGTAGCGTACTTTGATGCTTCGGTACCTTTAATCCCGATGGATGGTACAGGCTTAGAAGTAGAGGCTAAAGATTGGATGATGGAATTCTTTTTCTCAATCTCAAGGGACATTTCATAGGCACGATCATGATCCTCTTTAGATACATAACCGCTAGAAAGAATAGCTACCATGGCTTCCGTAGTAGCTTCACGTTGCTTAAGTAAATTATTAATGATACTAGTGGGGCTTTTTAAAGTTACAGCCGTAATAGGATCAGCTAAAGGCATGTCAGTGTCTAAATCGACTTCCTGATTATCCTGCTCAAATGGAATACGGGCGATGTCTTCATCTATTTCCCTATGTACACGTTCATCTTGTGCAGCTTGCCATTCAGCAGAGGCTTGCTCATTCAAGGGAGTGTTTAAAGTAGCGTCAGGAGTACCAGCAGACATTTCCTTGTTGGATGAACCAGAAGCGAGTTGGTCATAGGCACTAGGGCCGGAAGGAGAACCAGAAGTAGTCATAGTAGTGGATAGTAGTTGGAAGTAAAAAGTTTACAAGGAGGTAATCTTAAAAAATGTGGAAAAACGGTTTGTTTGACACGGAAAAATAAAAGATAAAAAAACAGGAAGAATAAGATTAATATTGCTTGTAGGCTTTTTTATTCTTATTAAAAGTGCATCCCTCTTTCATCTCTGAAAGAAAGGGGGGTATTTATAGTTATTTAAAGCGTGGGTAAAATTATGGCTCGTTTGTGTTCACTTGGTATTATTGGCTGTATTTACTAATGACTGATGAGCCTTATCAGTGTAGCCAATCTATTATTCGAAATGGGATCTTCTATGGGAATATCTAGTAACCCTGAGTTGTAAATGTATAACTCAGGATATTTTTTATGCTATTATTTTTTATGAGTGTTATGATATTATGTACCTGTCGATCAAGGATCGATGGAATGATTTTATATGCGATTTTATATGTTAAATAGTGCGATTTTAGTACAAAATGAATCCGAAAAGAAGGAGATTACACAGGAGAACGAAAAGCGTTTTGGATTTCCAGATTACTTGGCTTTATTGATGGTTCGGCAATTGATTTTGCAAGTGCACCATGTTGGCGTAGAAAGGACGAGTTCTTTGGGAGAAAATCACATCATTGCATGAATACACTTGCAATCTGTGATCACAACCGAAAGATCCTGTATTTTGGTGGGAGTTGGTTTGGAAACGCTCGTGACATGAAAGTGTTAAAAGAAAGCCCTCTTTTTAAAAGAATCGATGACTTTTTCGAAGGAGAAAATATGTTCTTGGTGATGGCGGATACATGGCTTACAAGTTTCTAGTTCCAATTCACAAGAAATTTCGTGGCGAATATATGTTACCAACAGACGAGAAGTTTAATACGTATATTACAATGATGCTAATCAAAATTGAACATGCTTTTGGTATTTTAAAGGAACAATTCTATTCGTTAAAATCGGTACCCATTCGAATTAGGCGAAGATCAGATATGGAATACGTAAACTATTGGATCACAATTTGTGTCGTCTTGAACAACTTTCTTCTTGAGAAAATGGACGTCAATGACTTTATTTCAATGAAGCAAATATGGGATAAAAAAGAAGAGGAAGAGTACGCACGATTGAGACAAGAACTGGAGGTTATGGAAGATTGTGAGGGAGGTAGTGACGAGGATGGTAGGGACGAAGAAGAAAGTGATGAAGATATTTATGAAGATAGTGGAGAGGAAGATATGAACGAAGAAACAGATGAAGATGAAACGGATGAAGATAATAAATAACCAAAGATGTGCAAGAAATACAAGACTCCTCGCGGTACCATTAGCGGTAAAATAAAATATGAAAAAATCAAGGAAATTGTCCTCAAGTTTAACAACAAATGCCATCTTCTTTCAAGTAACAATTGATACAATAAAAAACACTGTTTATGTCAAAATAGACTTCGAAATAAGCAATCGCTTTAAGATCAAATACTTCATACTGTATGTGATAATCATAGTTTATTTAAAAAAAAGATAAGAAAAAGCCGAACTCTATGTCGATATCATCCAACAGCGTTGTTGCTTCTTCCTTGCTTAAATTCAAAACCTTGATTCTCTTACCAGCATTTTTATACCTGGTGTCGTATCGTGCTAATAATAACTTCTCTGCTGCTATGTCTTTATTTGAATCTGGCAAAATTCTTTCAAACCTAGGTCTTTTGTGTCGGGCGGATAGCTGTCGACCTTCAAAACCCTCTTTCTATTTCCCAAACTTCTGCTAGAAACTGTTCTTCGCCTCAGGTGAAGACAAGGAAGGAGAGGGAGAAGAAAAGGATCCGGAGCTACATTCAGGTTCTTGATCATTGGTGGCCTGATTGTTATCTTCGGAATCCGAATGAAGCTCCTCTGGTTTTCTCCATCGAAAAGGCTCTTCTGAAGGTCCGCTTGAATCCAGTATAGTAAAACAAAAAAAGACGCATTTTAGACGAACAAGCATATCCTTGCTTAGTATTTTACGAGACGAGCATCGTTTGCGGCTTGGGTATTCACAAGATCAATGCTCTGCAATGCATGTACAAGAGTATCAGTAACACTGGTATTGATTTGAGATTACAAGATCCTCATTTGATGACCCTAATTTGCTATGTATCCTTCATTTTCTCGGGTCTTGTAGCTAGACCGGATTCCTTTGCCTACCAGCAAAGATTTATTCAGTTTCTATACAACATAGCTGAATACAATTCCTCTCTTCTCTTGTGTCCTGGTCTATTGTAAATTGACGATGCATCCGATTGCTGGACAACGCTGAATGCGTATAATAAATGAACCGAGGTTTTCACTCCTGTCGGTAGAGACGAGTTGTCAACATTCGCCAGAATTCAACATCGAACCATGTCACAACTAAACAGACCCAATCAACTTTACTCTGTTTCTGATGCTAACCATTTACTTTCATCATGTCAACTACCGCAGTCTAGATGAATCGAGTAAGCTATTGTTTGGTATAGAACACATGATCCCAGACGTGAAACAAACATATTCTGCATTGAAGGAACCCGCCACTTCCATTGCAAATATGCTCATTACGGAAGGTTTAAACCAAAAAACTGCCTTGTCCTTGATAAACTTCTTTGCCCAGGACGTGTGGAGCTTGATTGGAAACACCAACGCTTTTCGTGAATCCTTTGAATACAGAACTCAAATGTCTCGAGTGTACTTGAACAGTGTCAATGCAATGAATAAAGTATTCGTAAGTAAAATTAAAAACAAAATATGCTGAGCTGTACGATAGGCTGGTATCTAACCATGGTGTCTTTATTTTAAAATGAACCTGTTCACATTCGTGTAGCCAAGGATCAAGCCATTTTGGATCGTACTTTTGGCATTTTTTTTCCAGACACATCGGAAACAAATTTACTGGATCAAATAACAGACATTGAGAAAGGTACAAAAGTATATGTTGGGATATATTCAAGAACAGGTTACGTCTTTGTCATGAATGCCTTGTCAAGATTGAATAGACAAGAAGAAGCTCATCAATTCCACATCATGTTGAAAGAAATAGCCTATAAATTTCTTATCTATCTTCCAGATATTAATGCAGTATTCAAATGGACTAGATACAAGCGAAGTTTCTCTTTATTGGATGAACGTGTGCGTGATAAACGAGCAAAAAAAAAATTAGATAGTATCCCGCCCCCCGCATACACCCTTTTTTTTTTCCTTGTACTTGCCAAAAAAAGTCATTTTATTTAAAAAAAAAGCTTTATATTTTCACACGACTTTCTAATTGCTTCATAGATGCGTCCCCATTGAAACGCGACTATCATCATGAACCTCACAAAAAAAATTAAACTTGCATTCTTCATTTACCTACTTGGTCGCAGATGGGGGGGGCAAAGGAGCCAAATAATGTTGTCGTACAACAACCAGTCTTTTACTACATTTGGATTATAGCCGTAAATACTATGCTCAAAACATGGTTCCAATTATGGATTTAAACTTTATAAACAATCGTGGTAGCGCAAATTTTATAGTTGGAGTGCCCCTCTTGATTCGACATAACCCCCATTTATTTTCTGCGTGACGATCGCCACAGCAAATGATCAACATGATGCAAAATTATACTTTGCATATCAAGGGACGTGCATATATCCAGAAATGGCATGATTGTTTTTTATTCTATTTTTGTGCATTATGCTCCTTTTATTAACTTTTTTTTTAAAACAAATATGTACGAATGTGCGACCAAATGTGTGTGGGGTGGTTTAGGGAAAAAAATTTATGATCTAGGCAACTACATCTTTTAACCTGTCTTGTCGGATATAGATGGACATCGTGATGTTGCCATCGAACTGGAGGTTGGTCACCCGATCCACTTTCGAGTCATTAAATCTGTACCATCTTTTTGCTTGATGGTGTCTGATTTAAGCAATGTAATGTCCAATGCCAGCTAGAATATGCAATACAAAAGCATGCAGCATATACTGAACCGGAGTCAAATGCTCCGTGGGTTCCTTTGATTAATAAAAGTGATGTACCAGCTGCTTTTCATTCTCCTAAAACACGAGTTAGCTATCCATACACTTTTTTTGAATTGCATACTAACATTGCCAGATAAGGCAAACACAGGAGGCAGCACTGTGAATTTATTGTATTCCAGCACTTCATTCAACCCCTGATCAAATGATCTTCCATGGGCATAGAGACAAAAATTCATCACCAGATTGATACCTACGGGTTTTGGCAAGGACCACGTCTGGAACAAGTCTACCAACTCCTCCGTTCCATCTTGTGCCAAGGCAACCCACTTGAGCATAAACTCATAGGAATCTAATAATACATCATATTCAATAAAACCCCCCACTAAAATATAACTTCATGTTTACCTCTAGCGTCACAGGTGTAGCGATTACCTATGACATACAACTCTTGATAAGTGGGTGGAGGTACATCAGGGATGGGAATCTCCTGGAAATAAAATGGGTCGTCCGCCTTCCACTCGGGAGAAACACCGTTACGTTCATTGCCGCCGTCGTAACTCACCATGCTTGGAAGATGGGCTTGAGGCTCGTAAACCTTTGTGGCGGTTGACATGCCCAAAAACCATCCTTGCAGGTCTTCTACAGCTGAAGGGAGAGTGGGGAGCCTTTAATAAAAAATAGCCTGAAAATAAAATAAAACTATACCTATTCTAGCACGGATGAGATCTTGCTTGGTGAAATACTAATTGTCAAAATATTTGCCTTCTTTACAGCATCAGGTACCAACTTGAGTGACTTATTAATAATGGCAGTTCGAAAAGGGATAATTAAATACAACACCTACTCGGTTTCGTTAATTATTTTATTTAAAAAAAGGATAGCACTGGGCATATTCTTTACCTGAATAGGTGCACTGAAGAAACAAATGTTTGCAATATTTTTAATACCAATGGTACTGAAAGGGAGAGTGCTTGCGCTGGAGGAAGACATGTTAATTGTTAAACGATAAAAGAATAAAAGAGCAGCTGGATTGCAGAAACATTTCTCTTTTTTATACTTGCTGATTTAAATCCCTAAACTTTATTATATACACGCAATACTGATTGGTGTTCGAATAAATCATGATAATCGCAATGTGAATTACCTTTTACTGTACATATGAATCGGGTCTCTCAGGGATAGGCAATTTTTCTTAGGGATAGCCAGATTTTATAAGGGACAGTCAAGGTGCGCGTAGTCGTAATGTTGGATTAGGATACTTTAATAGACACGGAGAGGTCAATATAACTTAACAACTTGAAATATATACACATTTATTACAACCAACATAGTTTAAACCAGTATGTGTGTGTTACAGCTTACCTTCAGCTTCTCATTTGAACTTTACCTTCTTATTTCTGCGTATGATTAAAATCAAATGAGCTTAAAGGCAAAAGAATGATGACAAATTGTCAATCATTTAATATGCATTTATTCGTAATTATCACATTGTTTTTGATTATGTATTCTTGTTTCCAGGTCTAAAGGATAACCAAATTTATCATGCACTTTTAATATTACAACTCATTTGAATACATTAAAAAATAGCTTTTTGAAAAAAAAAAGACTATATTTCTCACTTGTTTTTATGCAAGTGATGACTATTGTTAAGGATGGAGGTTAACTGTTGTTTTTTATACAAGTGATGACTCCATATAAAAAAAATGGCAATAATTCTCCCTTGTTTTTTACAAGATATAGACAACGAGCCAAAAAAAAATTGGCAATAGTTCTCCCTTGTTTTTTTGTCAATTCAATGCTTGAATTCCACAGTGCTTTTATTCTAGCTATCATTATTTTTTTTCACTAAAAAAAATTAAAACAATTAATACACTTGATGTTGAAAAAAGGTCTTTTTCGTTACCTGTACACTAAAGACAATAGACCAGTTAGACCATATGACGAGCATATTATAGATGGTATTGAGTCCTATTCATTCTTGATACTTTTATGAGAGATAAACCATCCAGATGGGACAATGAAATTTTTCTTTTTTTTTTCTTTAACCGGGATTATTTTGACCATAGCTCCCCCTTGTTTTTAACAAGATATAGACAGTGAGCAAAAAAAATTGGCAATAGTTCTCCCTTGTTTTTTTGTATTTTCATTGCTTAAAATCCACACTGTTTTCATCCTAGCTATCACTACTTTTTTTAAAAAAAAAAAAATTACTAAACATGATGATCTTTATAAGAGGTCTTTTTTGTTACCTGTACAGACAAGGCAGTACGTCAGCTATACCATACGACAAACAGATTACAGATGATATTAAATACTATTCATTCTTGACACTTTTACACAATAGACATGCATCTGCTAGATGGGACAATAACATTTTTCTTTTTGGCAATGGTTCTCCCTCAATTTTTTCAAGTAGAACGGCCGCAAGAAAAATTTGACAATAGTTCTCCCTTGTTTTTCGTAAAGTCAGTGGCATTAAGACGAGTTACAGTAACAGTGATGGTTATATCTATTACTTACATGCATAATTAATATACTAAATAGGTATGATTTTTTTTTTTTTTTTTTTTTTTTTTTACCTGTGCACAAGTACAATGACCCTGATTATTTTTTGGCAATAGTTCTCCCTTGTTTTTCATACATGTTAACAGCAGCAGGCACATTAGATAGTATCATACCAGTAGTCCAATAAAGCCAAGAGTATCAATGCATATTTCTTCTATTTTTTTTTTTGAGGGTGCAAGAATGTTAGATCAGAGTAAATTATTATTGTTCTTTCTTGTTACCTACAGGTTCAACAACCCCTTGCTCTTGTTTATTATATCCAAATACTAGTGGACATCAAGTCAGTGACTATACAAGAAAAAGGAGTGAGTCATTAACAGAAAAAGATGGCAATAGGTCTTGTGAGTTACCCGTACAAGCAAGAAATAAACCAGTAGACATTGTCAGCAATTCCATTTTTTTCATGTTTGTATGCAAGTAATAACCAGGGGATGTAAGTAGGACTATAACTATCTGTTACGAGTATGAAAGAATAAATAATATACAAGTGGGATATAATATTCTTTTTTTTTTTTTGATAGTGTAAAGAATATAAGAATGAAAGTGACAATAGTATCAGTTTAATTCTTGCAAACTAGTAATAAAAACAAGTTAAAACACAAGATAACATGTCCTTTTTTTTTCTTGTTACCTATACAAAGGATAAACCAGTTTATATTGACAATAGGCATGACCGATATAATAAGCCGTGGCTGAAGCTACTGCTGTTGATTATACATAAGTAACTGAATAGGTTGATTATATTATTTTTTTCTTGTTACCTATATATCCAAGTGACGTACTAGATAGAGAGGCAGTAGCGGTTGACCTGTACAATACGTATGAGTACATCTATCTGTTGTTTAAATAAACGGGTGAGTAACAGAACAAGTAGATGACAGTTTCTTCATGTTCTTTTTATACACGGCGAGACTTCTTTTTTTCTTGACAACAGGACCAGTATACGCTTTGAGTTCTATTTATACAAGAAATGAATGAGTTACACGTAAAAGTATTCAAATAATAGTGCTGTCTTGTTACCTAGATTCCTGAGTAATGGACCAAAAAAAAAGAGACAATGCATGACGCGTTTTACTTGCTGCTTGTTCACAGGTATAACACCACACTTGCTCTGGTTGAATACACAAGACATAAAGTCATTTCACTTGTCTTTGTAAAGAGGCACGCCAAATAAAAAAGAGATTCATCCTGGTCTTCTTTTTTTAAAGATGTTAAAGAGCCGTGCATCAGAAGAATGTAGCAATAGTTCTTTTTTTTTGCTAGAGTAAGAGAAGGATACACCTAACCACAGAGGAAACCATAGTACAGTCAGTGCACATTGGTCTCGTTTATTTTTGAGTGCTTAAGAAAATATTCTCCTCCACTGTATGAATTCAATAATGTATGGATGAGACAGCACAGAGAAAGAATGTGGTCTTTCCCTTTCTTGATCTTGGAGACTACACGCAGCAGTATTCTTGTACAGTGGTAAAAGAGGTCCTTGTTGAGTAGATGGATGGGAAAAGGAATAAAGAAATAAGAGTCCTTTTTCTTGGGTGCCATGATTATAACAAATGGGTGTTCCTTGGTAGCTTTACTTTCTTGCTAGGCATGTATGGCTATGGACAATGTTGGTTAAAAACGTGTTCAAACGTGTCTTTTTTAAATACTTTTCTTTTTACCTTTACGTTTTCTTTATATCAGAATTTACACCATGGCGGCATCAGACCTTATAATTAACGACACAGACTAAAAAAAACGCGTCCCATCAGTACATTACTCCTTCACTCATAAAGCTGTTCTTTAATACTATACCTGGCAGTACAACCGGTGTAGATAGTCATTATAAAGGATACGTAAAGACTTGAATAATGTGGCAGAAGAAAAAAAAAAGAATAAAGAAAAAGGAAAAAAAAGGGGGGGAGGGATAGATGACGTGTGCGGAGATTTTAGGCTGGCCTTTGATTTTGCGTGCGTCCGTGCGCCCGTGCGCCTACACCACCTTCCATATGTATTCTTTGGTTACTTGTTTCCTTTTTCCTTCTTTACAAAGACGTCTCCCATACACCATTTTATCAGTCATAGAGATTATGTTGACCTTTTCATTTTATTGCCCTTTAGATATATCAAGTAGAAAAATAAAAATAAAAAAAAGAATACTTACACTTGACATTTTATACACCTGTCCTTTGTTCCTTACAAAGACTTATTATATCCTATACCTTTACTTTAGTGTCAACTTTTTTTATATATTAAAAAAAGACAGGCTCTTGTTCCTGTTTACCTTCATTTAAAATACATTTTACGCTTCGTGTTTAACGCCAATACGCCTTCATCTTATTTATCATGACTTACACTATAGTAGCATGCGTTCATCTTTACAAATTGCACCAAGACCTACATTAAAAAGATCAGCTTCTCGGTCATTTTTTGATGCATTCTTTTACTGCTAACGTTGTTTCCTTTACTTTAACCCATTAAATCTTCTTTTGCTTGTGCATTATTATACTTTACTTATTCATCATCCTTCTGTGTAAACAAAATGAATCTATCAGTACTGTTTAAAGTGAACCCCCTTTATAAAGAAGCTACCTTATTTGGCCATCAACCAATGCACTTACCATGAACAGGCCTCCATGACACAAATTCCCTTTTTCTTTTCTTGTTTAGCTTCACTCATTTATAGAGACGCTCGGGATTTCGGGCTCCTTGTCCATCACTTCACTCTGTCTTTGCTGTATTTAATTACTGACTCTATACATGGAAAAAGAATCTTGGACTCATTCCTTCTCAAGAGTCTGGACACTAGACTAGAGCGACTCACCTAGTTAGTCTTTCACACTACATTACTACCTTTTTCTTGTCAATTACCTTGCAAAGAGCCGTGACTCTTGTTTTTAATACAAAAGGAAGAAAAAGGAAAGAAAAGGAAAAAAATAGAACCCAGTCTTTTTAACTGCTTGCCCTTTGTAATTCTATTGTATCACCTTTATAATCAATCAATGAAACTTTTAAAAAAAGTAAAAGAAAGTGATTCAATCCGCAACAATATTTTTTATTTTAACTGAATTTATAAAGCTTTCTTGTGATTAAACTCTTGATATTCCAACTCACCAACACGCTCTAGCATGTCCTTGTCTAGGATCATTGATCGTAATTGATCAGATAATTGTCGATTCTTCTTGATATAAGCAATTATTTCATCAAATTCAACATCCGTTAATTTTCTCATCGCGTTTGTCGAATATAACGCGGCAATTGCAAACGCACCGTGCTTGAAGTAATATAACAGGGTGTTGAATCGTTTACCGGCGACTTTCATTTGGGCAATCTTGTTTTGGGTGTAATCACATTCTATTATATAAATTAGTTTAGATAGATATCTTTTTCTTTAAAATAGAGATTATTTACTTTTTAAAAGTTCCACAAACGTAGCGTGAAATCCGGGATATTCCTTTTTCAAAGTTTCGCCAAAGCAATAAAAACGAAAGCATCCAGAGTACTGAGTGGTAGTACCCCAATTACCAAATGAAATACCATTATCATGGTAATCCTTTACAGCACGAGCGAATACCTTAATTTCGGATTTTTTTGTTTCATCCGTCAACTGTGGAGCCACAGGAATCTTTATCGGCATCAACATATTCTCGTTAATCATAAACTGGATGTTATTATTTAATAACTCCAAGTCAGGCAGATGACTTTTTTTTTCCTGAACCACTGGAGCTTTTTTAGTTTTGACGGCATCATTGACTTGATGAGCCCCGGAATCATTGTTATTATCTGAATTGTAATCAGAACAGCCAGCCTCATCATTAATATTGGGGTTCTTGCTGGGTTTTTTTTGTTTTTTATAAGAACCACTGGAACTTGCCTCTTCCACTACCACTCTTTTTCTTGGCGTGGCCATCGGTCTTTCTTCGACCGGTAATTCCGTTGATTGACCTGATTATGTACATGGTAAGGCACATGTTAAGGTACATGTTAAGGTACATGTATAAATATATTTTTTTTTAAAAGAATAAAAAAAACTAACCTTGGATATGTAAGTAATGTTAAATTTTTCCAAACAATACATAATCATTGTTGGATGATTGTTTGGATCTACAGAATAAAGTAAGCTATATGTTATGTTTATGAACCCTTGTGTCATGTACTTACAATTCTTTTTAATTACGTAGTAAATAATGTAGCTTTTAATTTGGTTTGGCGCATATATCCCACAGGCCATTACATAAAAACACATATTACCTATAGCGTCTATTTAAAGGGGGAAGATAAAAGTCTTGTTACTTCAGGCTAGAAATAGATAAGAAAAAAAGGGGGCGTGGGATACTGATCTTAATCAGTTTTTGAAAATAATAAAAATAAAACCTCAACCTGCTTTTTAAAAATACACTTAATTTAATGACTTTATCTTATGGGCTATAAAAGCACACAACTAGTACAATTAAATAAATAAAAAGTGGAAGGGTAACAGTTTTTATTATTTTCTTATGAGTATGTCGATGATGCGCTGTATAATGCCTTACCTGTAATCCTCTTTTTTTTCTTTATCACGCTACAAGAAGCAACCATTGAGTTTATTTTTGAGGGCTACTGAAATAAGAGTATGCGAGTAGTATTGGCGTGATAAAGAGTATTTCTTTAAATAAAATAGAGTTTAGTTAAGAAGGTCTTTATAATTGCGAGTTGAGTGAGCACCACAGCTAGTTTAAACAGAAGCTGAACTGTTAGAAAAGAAATGGATTTAAGTATAGCTTATATGCTTATAAATAAAAGATACAATGATAAAATGTAATAAACGGATCAATCAGAATGATAATAGAGCTGAATAATATATAAAACTAATAAGTCAAAGTGTTGAAATATGAGTAAAATAATAGATGAGGATTTTTATTTAGGAGAGGTCTTATGGATGCCTATTTATAAAGATGGTCGTATAATCCAGTCACTGAAATTAAAGAAATTGGGAAAATTTATAGAAGAGATTGAGGTAATTGCGCCTACTAAGAGGTCACAGATCTGAGGATAAGAAAAAGATGAAAAGAAGTAGTTTTGGCAGGTGCAAACCCGAAAAGGTGTATTGCACTTTAGTAGGTGTTTAAAAAGAAAAAAAGATTGGAAATGCGCTCGATTTGTCGCATAACACTACCATAAATAAAAAACCAATCCCCCTCCTCCTTATGCTAAGAATGGGGAATTGCTTATAAATATTAAATACAGAATAATGATATTTTATAAAGACATGCCAACTGACACTCATTAAAAATAGAACGTCTCCATGTACCCTCTTATTTCACGCACACTATAATCTATAAGAGACTCTACATAATACGGCTATATTTTATTCTTTATTTTTTTTTATAGGCAGCAGAAATCTATGTGCACTCAATAGGTGTTACCTGTAATACTAATAGGGACACAAACAGGTCGCTTGCATGTATTTTTCAAGTACGCCATCATGTCTGAACATAACTACCACAGTGTACAACACTACTTTGTTTTTTAAAAATGCTTTTCTGGTTCCGCTGTTGTATTCCTTTGCTTAAAAAAAAGTATAATTTATACCATCATACGATGGATAATATTTTATAAGTATCAGCATACCCTTGTTCATAACTGACTATTTTAACGGTTAATTATAACAATAAAATATACATGTATGCAATTTATACGTGTAGGCTACATCTTTTAAATATACAGGTACTAAAGGATACAGACTATGCATTAAAAACACAGCCAGATTATCCTTCGTATGTTGAATTAACGGTATAAAAAAGAGCCTTCCCTCTTGAATGTAAAGTTAATATACGTTTTTCGATAGACTCCTACTCCTTTTGTTGGGTTTCGTTGCTACGCTGCCCATCACAATGAAAGCCTTGTCTTTAAAATTCAATTTTGCGCAGGCAATTTAATTGCTATATTATTCTTTTTTTTTTTTATAATACCTTCCTTAATCAGTGTTAATCCTCGCTAGCCCTTACTAACTGGTAGAATAAAAGTCTTATCTACGAGGAACCTATCTGGAATTGAAGAGAGGATTGTGTACCCAAATGGGAGAATGAAAATAATAACAATTCATAGACCAAGATTGAACTTTCTTTTAAATCAAAATGACATACTCTGATTTAATAAAAAATAAATGAACAGTGGTAAAATAATTAAACGCGTATCTATAAAATGAAGACCAAATACAACATGGTGAAGGAAAGATGGCTCAAAATAGTATCCTTTATAAACGCCCTTCACTTAAAAAGATGACAGAAATTAACATAAAAAAAGGCAAAGGCAAGATTAAATCAAACAGCACATGTAAAAGAAGAAAAACAAGAACAGTAAGATACAAAATCAACTGATACAAGGTAAAGATTCAAACCTATAAATACACACTCTAACTGTCGTATTTGGGTACGATTCACTTAGGAATAATTAAGCAAATCGTTTAAATAAATAAACTATGAAATTAAAACAACCTTTTATGTTGCATATGAGCATACGCTTGTATACTGCTATACAACTTCTCCTACTTCGAGTACATACTTCTATATAAAAGATTGCATGATTGGCCTAAATACGATATACGAATGACAGTTGGATACAGAAAGCTATACCGCTGAGTTACGATATCACCGATCGAGAAGAGAATCTTCTCAGATCAAATCAAGGATTATAAGAAAGAGAAGCTTAATATTAATGGTTCTCTCAATGGATTAGCTACCCAGAGAGAGAATAGAACAGCTATTAATATAAATGGTTCATTTACTTATATATTGATATAGTTATATTGCTGATAAAGAGTATAAAGAAATAGTGTATAAATTAATGGATACCTAGCTTCTACAACCAAATATACAAATATCGATAAGAAATTTTATATTTGGGATCGTATTTTATTCATTACAAAGATAATGAATAAATGATCAACCATTATGTTCTATTGCCAATTACACTTGACAAACAAGTATGCATCTTTTACAGTAACCGTTGCATGATCTGATAAATAAGTGTCTCGTAATACTAAAAATTTATTAGAATACTCATGCTCCCGATCCACTAATATGGGACAACGTTAACTGGAAACAATTCTAGCGAGCAGTATCCATTTAGCCCAAGGCGGCAAACAAAGTATAGATCTATTCCAAAACCAGAAAGGTTAACTCATCATTAAAACTCAGGAGAGTTGTGCAATATAAAAAGGATCATTCATAGCAGCAGAGTTCTTTTAGTCTATTTTTACCTCTAATAAAAATATACTTTTATCTCATTACTTTTCTATGTAATATTTTGTCAAATACCACACTAACATATTTTTAAAAAAGTACTAAAACGGTAAGTTTTGTAAATCAAAAGAGAACAGCTTTTTATAAAGAGGGTAAGAATCAATGCTTGTATTTCTCTATCAAACACATTCATGTTTATTTATACAAGAACAAGCAAAGGATACACTCGGGTGTGGCAATAAACATCTATAAGAAGTACAAAAGTAAAAAGAAAATGACTTTCAAAGGAATGCGTAAAGTTTAAATCCTGTGTTCCATTAAATAAACGCGTGCAGTAAAGCATAGTGAGTACACTTGTCAGAATGTTATGAGTAAATAAAAAAATTAATAGGAAGAATACAAGCACAACTTCATCAATTACAAAAACTCAGGTATAAGCTTAACCTTCCTGCACTGGTAAATTTCAAAATAATGAAGAAAAGCGAATGTTCTTGTCAAAGAAAAGGCTACTTGCTAAAAAAGAATTAAATAAAGTGTATGAAGAACAAGATTGGACATCAAACAATGCTGCCCTTTCGTGTGTTATTTAAATGATTGTGTAGCTGTTAAATAACAAAATAGATTCTTGTAGTAAAATAAACATAATAATAGAAACAAACTAGACATAATGTTACAATGCGGATTTTCAATATGTAATAATTGACTTCAACACTAAAAACTTTACTCAAACAATTTATAATTTTCATGCTAACTTTTAGCATTGTACTTCTCTAACTTGAATCTTTACCTTTCAATATTTAAAACCTTTTGACAAATTTATTATTATTATCATTTATCCGAAATCAAGGGTATCGTTACCGATCCTTTGATTTCTCGAAAACTATATAAACCTTAAAACAAAACATATTTCAATAAACATTCAGATTTTACTATATACTTTCTATCATGACTTCCCTAACAAATATTATATCTTCTATATATAATTGGCCTATTATCTCACTGTCTCCCTAGAAAAACCGAAGCCTTAGTCTCTTTTTCTCTGTATCTGTCTATCAAGACCTTTTATTTTATTTTACTTAACTGGATCGTTACCATATATATTTATTATATATTTATATAAAATAACGTTGTGCTCACTTAGAACTGAATAATTGACTACAACCGTGTATTATTCTCCTTCTACCTTACTGTCAAAACTAAATCTAAACCAATCACCACCACTCACATTGTATCAATGTTGAAAAGAATTTAAAAAAAATGCCTAGCAGCCAAAGGCCCTAAGGACACCCTTTTTACTTCAGAAAAAAATAAAAAGCACTAGCAAGGAATTGAACCTACGTCCCTAAACCTGCAATTAATTAAGTGACAGTGATTAACCAACTAGTCCTCCATTATACTATTAGTCTGATACGTTCGTGTTTTGGTCATGTCGCTTTTGACGTCACTTCGTTCAGTCACGTGAAATCCACGTGCAGGGTATCTTATTGGTTGGAGTTCTTAAGGTGTTCTGAATTCGAATCCTGGTGGGGATTGTTTCTTTTTTTTTCTGAGAGTAAATATTTTATTCTTACATTCTTGTGTTATGATTACTTTGGTAAATACCGTTATTACCGTTCGAGTACCCTGTTTGCTGTATGTTAAGTCTATTTTTGGTTTATCTGGGAACGCGTATGATTTATCCGTTAAATTTATATCTCAGGATGGTATCCGGATAATTGATTCTGTAAATAGTTATGGTTTAATTGTCTTGAGTGATTTTGGGTTAATTTTGACAGCTATAAAAATAGCATTAAATTTGTAAATCAATAAAAGATAATCTTATTCTTAGTCTTATTTTTGGAAGTTCTTCATATTTCCTCGAGATAACTACTTTGGCAGATTTCCTTAGCTTACTAGTGCAAATCTCTCCTATAACTGTCTGTGTATTTAAATCTTTAAGTCTTTACAGTCTCCTTTTAGTATTCATCTACACATTTGTTTACTCTCTCGTAATATATCTTTACAAAGGTAAACATAAAGACACGCAGGAACTTATCAAGTCTGTTATTTTTGTGTTTTAATTATGTCGCGGGTAAAATGACACCTTTTAGTCACGTGATATCCACGTGCAGGTTATCGTATTGGCTGGAGTTTCTAAGGTGTTCTGAATTCGAACCCTGGTGGGGATTGTTTCTGAGGGTAAATATTTTATTCTTACATTCTTGTGTTATGATTACTTTGGTAAATACCGCTATTACCGTTCGAGTACCCTGTTTGCTGTATGTTAAGTCTATTTTTGGTCTATCTGGGAACGCGTATGATTTATCCGTTAAAATTATATCTCAGGATGATATCTGGATAATTGATTCTGTAAATAGTTATGGTTTAATTTTCTTGGGTGATTTTGGGTTAAATTTGACAGCTATAAAAATAGCATTAAAATTGTAAATCAATAAAAAATAATCTTATTCTTAGTCTTATTTTTGGAAGTTCTTCATACTTCCTCGAGATAACTACTTTGGCAGATTTCCTTAGCTTACTAGTGCAAATCTCTCCTACAACTGTCTGTGTATTTAAATCTTTAAGTCTTTACAGTCTCCTTTTCTTATTCATCTACACATTTTTTTACTCCCTCGTAATATATTTTTACAAGGATAAGGCGAAAGTTCACCAGCTGTCTAACATTGCTGTAAGTTGCCGTGAAGAAGGGAGAGGAAAATAATTTAGTTATAACGTAGAGAAATCGTTATATGAAATATAATAAAATTGGCTAAAATCACGGGCAGCAATTTATTTCACTTTTTTAATCGGTATAAATAATCATTAAAAAGGCTGTCAAAATAATGCAATTTAAAGTGTCTTAGGTTATTGCTCTTGAGTGTGTATTGAGGCTTAAGATCATCTTAAGTGTATTTGCAGTTTAGTATGTTTTATAGCTATGGTAAATTTCAACTTGTATTTATGGACGTTTAAGCGTTTAATTACTAATTGAATGGCTTAAATATATATTGACTTTTATTTGTATTGCACTGCTTATGTTTACACAGCTTTTTTGATTGCCCATTGTAACATCCACAAACATCATCACCCTCTAGCCCTGGTAGAATCCCTCTATATAAAGTATAATCATTAAATTTTGTCACTCAAAGCATCACTATATAAACGTTACTATGAGTAGGCATATCATTAATATAGTTGCAATAGAGAATATTTTACTTCGTTTGTGATTTATATTGATGCCGGTACGAAAATTGAAGACGTTTGGAAATTGTGAACGTATACAGTTGATTTATAAGCTGATTGCGAATAATTTGTACATGAAGTAAATGAAAGTTCTGTTCAGAACACAAACTTTTCTATTCGACATTTCACAAAGTTGACATCCCTAATTAAACCAACATAGTTTTCAAGATGTAAAATCCTTTTTAATATTGTTGCCCCTAATTTACGATTATCAAAGTTATTGGAAATATTCATATTATAACATGGCTTTGAATTGCATACGACATTACCAATCTTCAATACTGTTATTTTGAAATGTATTCCCGTTAGGCAAAAACGAAAAAACCAGTAATTTGGGAAGTCGCTTTGCATATTGTTAGAAAAATAATGAGAGGTTTTACAACATATCTGTCATAATTTTATAAATAGACTTTGTTACGAACGTCATTATTTATCTAATTTACTTGTTCCTCGTTAAGTTGGTGCATACAATGCGGATTTGTCACGTTTGTTGTATGAGATTTACTCGCTCCCAGATTCAACTTTTATAAGCATGCACATACAGCGAACACGATAATTGAGGGCATTATCAGAAAAAAAGATTATTTAAATACCACCCAATGCAGCGGCATTTTAGGCTGCTATAACCAAAGATTCATAGTCACTTTTCGACAGTGAATTACTGATTCTATAAACCCCGTCGACTAATGGTCTAAAGTAATCATAAAGCAAAACCATTTTAAGACTTCAACAATTCTGGGTTGTTGTAGCGAGCTTCCCTTTTTAATAGTTTGATAAATAATAAAATCGAAAGAATAAAATTTGTCACAAAAGCATCAGTATCTTTATTTTAATTATTTAGCAATCTGGTTCTCCCCAAAAATTAATAGTTATGATGTTCGATAATGACAACTAGTACGAGCTATTGGCGCTTTTATTTTTAATGATTATCTTACTATTCTTTAATTTTAAATAGTTGATTGCACTCGATTTGAATTAGGTGCTGTACTTGCTCAAGTTTAGGTGTGTTTTGCACATTAAGGTTTGAGTGTTTTGTCGTCATGAGTTTTTTTCGAATTTTGGATTAAGAGCTGAGTTGCCTGTTATCCGTGGTGTACTAGTTACCTTTTAGACATAAATTTTTATTCTTTTGAAAGGAACTTTATCATATTTGCCTCTAGGCCGCTACTTTTTTTTCCAGTAATGTAATTAACTTCTCTTAGTTTTTGTATTAGTTTATTTCCCTTACGTATGTAATGTTATCTTGAGAAAAGTGCCAAAGAAACGTTAATTCGAATTCTTTTACACATTAACAGGCACTTTAATAAGTTACTACGTTAACATAAGCCATATCAACAGTGACTATCTGTAGAATAAATTGTTAACTTTTTGCTTCGTGTCATTGGCTGTTCTATTAACTATCTCACGTTAGGTTTCACCCGATAAGCAAAAACAACATTTTTACACACAGTAGCTGTTATAGAAGCCGTACGTAATACTGTTATTTCCTGTATGCAAAACATTTCAACGTCTATACAGTTAGTATTGTAGAATCCGTTCTATGTGTTGGTTTATCTGTCAGAGATATTATTTTGAAATGCTAAAACTCAGTCTGACTATTATTGCTTCTATCTTGATGTATCAATTTAGTATGTTGGTTTATATAATTTTATATATTAAAAAACAAACTGAAACAAGAATATGCGTATATAAAAATTCAAAAGCTTAATTGAATAGAAGATATTTACTTATCAAATTTTGCTATAACTAGGGCTTTGTAGTTGGCTATTCCTGTTATTTGCTCCTCGTGGACAGGGTAGAAATGATTTAACTCGCTGAAAACGTGTTGAAGTTTGTACAAAGTTTTTTTTTTTACAAAACTTGAATCCACTGTAAAAGCATCAATGGCATCAAAAAAAGCCAGGCATGGACCAGGTTAAAGAATAACATAATAAAAGAATACTGTATTTAATCCCTATTACTGCAAGGCGTGTACAATAAATTGTCTTCCTTTTTTATTTCTGAATTTCTGCATTTTAATTATGCAGAACATTTTTTGTTGATGTATTACGATTGAAGATATTAACTTTCCAGAAATGTTAGAAACATTTCGTATACTTGTTCTTCTTCTCTGTGTGATATAAATGGGTACACAAAATATTTCCATATATGTCGAGTTAACGAACTCATTTTTGATCTTTGTATTGAGCTGAAACTTTGCCTATATCTTTAAGAAAGCATCAACAAGACCTGGTAAAAATCCCAAAGTATGTAAGTCAAAAACTGTTGATATATACCAAAACATTGAAATTTGGTCGCCGTATATAGAAGGTATACAGATGACCATATACGGCGAGTAAATGTTGACACCCTGGGATTAAGATAATATTAAGTGTCATTGCGTATTGTAAGAGTTGTGTAACTCGGTATCAGGTATTTATACCTATACCAATCACATATTAATCACATATTAATAAAACTCAGTTTTACAACCTATCTTATTCCGCTACCTCTTA